TGCAAACAAACTTTACGTAATTTTACCACAATATAATTTACTATGATTGTCATAATGACAGCAACAATAACGTTTATCAAAAAAATTATATCACATTTAATAATAATAGTGTTTAATAAATCTCTATTAGTCATTAAAAACAGAAACCAACTATGCCCAACGTGTTTACCAAGTTAGTCCCAAAAGTAACCTTAGTGGAATCGATGCCCGAGGCGTTCAAAAACAAGAACTACTCCGACGCCCGACACATCTCAGGCCTGACCCACGATATGCTCATGTCGTTTGAGATCCGGGGTCTCGTCGGGGAACAGACCGGCCGTAACCCTCATTACCCGAACTCTACGGCCGACACTAACCAACAGTAGTCGGAAGCGTTTGCTAAACCCCTGACCGACAGCGTCGACATCACTGGCTCTCAGGACTTTACGTTTGCCACAAAGAATCAGTTATACGCCTATACTGTCAACTATTGGGCAATTATGGCATTCATGCTAGACGATCACCTGGATCAGCTTGAATTGAACCATGAAAACAAGCATATCATATGGTATGTATGCCATCACACAATGTAAACGTATATTATAGTGATTTAACCGTAATTTGTTTTGTATTTTTAAACATGTATTGATTGTATAGCGAGTGGCAGAAGAAGTATCTGTTGAGCGAAAGCGACGGCACAACAGGTTTTGATAAAATGCTCGTAAAGGCTATGAAACTGACAAAAGCTATGCTGACGGCTGACCAGTTTGTACGACACGTGGTCTATGGCGTCGGTTGAATCGGCACATACCTGACCGCCAATTAGACAAAGTTTAATAACAAACTTATGACTTATGAAGAGTATATGTAGGTAGGTTTGAGAGAGAGAGAGAGAGAGAGAGAGAGAGAGCTATAATTTCAACATAGTAATTTTTACTGTACGGGTATAGGGAGAGGGACTGTGGCGTGGATACAATGTTCATATTCGTAGAGCGATGCAGTAATTTGGATGTCACGGCCTGACCACTGATCCCCTTTGGCTGGCGTTCAACAAGTCGGCCATCAAAGAGGAGACACTTGTCAACGATGTTTATTCAGTTAGATCTGAGGTGTTGAAGGATCAGGGTAGTTACAGTTACCTGTACCTGTTAATGGCACACCAGGGCTGGGATTGTCAACAGGCCATCGACCAGATGGTGGCTGAAGTGCACTATCAATGGTATGCGTGTATTAACTACGGCTCACAACTCGTAGACTACGGCATACCTGAGCTGACAGAGTATGTGCACGAAGTGCTATACATGGCAAGAGGCAATCTATGGTGGTCCACAGTTTGCTCTAGGTACAAATTCGGACCCAATGATAATCATTACATTAAAACGAATTAAAATACCTGAATTGTTAACAGTAATTATTTATAAAATAAATAATATACAATTTATTTTACATTTAATTAATAAATATATTTAATTTATAAATATAATAAATAATATTAAAATTGTAATACACAGTATTAGATACAGTATGCAGTATACTGTATGCAACAAATTTCAATAACTTCATTTCAAATAAATAAAATTTGTATTTATTATTGTTACAATAATAAGGCCTTGCAATAAATTACATTAAATAATATATTTTATGTAAATGAAATTTGTATTAAATTACCTAGTCATAATTATCATAATTACTATATACTTACAATACAGGTATACCTGCCTATTTTAGTATACTTGTATATTGAAAACAATAACTATTCTATTACATTGTACTAAACAAAGCAATATTATATAACTTATAATGTATTATATTTTGTTTATTACGCCTAACAAGTAAAAATAAATAGGGATTAAAAATAGACAAATAAATTTATAGTTTTACCACAATATCTCAAAATGCATTGTCATTACTATTAATGGATAAAACATTTTTGGTCTCAATAAAATTGCATAAAGTTAATAAATATTTTTGACCATATTTAGTTGTTTTTTCGCTAATAATGAGTAAAAGCATAAAAATAATTGGCAAAAAATTTATTGTGAAAATAATTTAGCGTAATAATATCAACAATGAATTTATTACTCTTTGTAACAGTTACAATAACTTTACTACTGAATGGCCATGGTCTGTAAAATTAATTTATAAATTTATTTAATTACAAATATATATTTTAAAATATAAATTAATTCATAAATAACTAAATATTTAATGTAATTGTGTAGATTGTGTGAAGTGTTATATCTGTGAATATAACGCCGCCTTTTGTAAAGGCATTAATTGTTATAACAATCCCGATATTTGCAGTACTAATCAGTTTAGTACAGCTCTCGTACCGGTGGCCGAGTGTCCGCACAATTGCCACTTAAAGGCCATTTCTAATCCCGTCGGTAAGACATATCATTACTTTTATCATATATTAATTACTAATTAATTATAATTAAAAGACATTTACAATTAGTGTAAAATAATCTAAAGTGTCTTTACATTTATGCTTTATTTGTGTTATACTGTGCCTAAAAGGTCAGGTAATTAAATGGTCCCGATTCTGCGCTCCGGCCAACGATCTGACCAAAGGATTTAAATGCCGGACAGAGTTCCGTATCGGCGCCCGCATTGATGAGTGCACTTGTGATCGCGATTTCTGTAACCATTCATCGCAATTGAAATTACACACTATTTTTGTTATGATATCTCTGTTGCTTTCAATAAGACATGTCATTTGATTTGGCGTTTAAAATCTTGTGTAATTATTATTACAGAATTTTTGAGTTTTAATTTTGTTATTTTTTGTATAATTTAATACACGTATAACATTTTGTACAATTGTTTAAATTAAAAATAATATTTTCATGCCATTAATTAAATGCGGATATAAATTAAAACTTTATAATAAACCCAATAAAACTAAAAATAAAATTTATGATTAACAAAATAATACAAAATGTATATAATTTTGCTTTTCATTTCGTTTACTATTTATAGTAACAAATATACAGAACGGCCCCGATTTTGGCACACGCGATTTTAGCAGAATTCGATTTTAGCATAAGGTTTTGTTAGCACCAGCGAG